TTGCTTAGTTCCTTTTAGTATAAAGTTTAAGCTTAATCCAGCATAAAATCAACTGGTAAATTTTTTATGTGCCCCTGCCCGGCGATTCGCCCATCAAAAAGATTAAAGAGTTAAATGTTATACCCGTTGCGAGCGGCCGGGAATCGAGGGAATCGGGCCTAAAACTATATACTGGCATCGAATATGATTATAGGGGTTCATTCATGCAATCTCTTCGCCGTTCGGTCTCTGTTTTTCAGCTTTTTTATCTCTCTATGCAACATAAGCCTGTTATGATGGAAAGGACATGTGATCTAATCAATTGGCTTACAATAAATTTGTCGATTGAGCAACGCCCCAGTTTAGAGAACTAAGCTAAGGACATTGAGAAAAATTAAAGATTGTTTTCGATTGGTATTTTAGTAGTTATAAATGCTCGATTTTGGTTCGCAATCATACTAAATATTAAAAACAAATGTAATAATAATTTATAAAATGTGTTCTTTCTTTAAATTTACACACAACAACCAATATAAATCATTTTAGAAATATAATATTTAAATAAAATAATGGCAATAAATATATAAATTTTCTAAATATTAAAGAATAAAAGTGGCGACATTTTTCAATTTATCTCAGTATTAATCAAACTCAATATTGAAAATAATAATAATTTTTAATAGCGGTTCTTTCTTTCAATTTACACACAACAACAAACATTAATATTTTCAGAAATAAATCTACAATATTTAAATTAAATAATGGCAATAAATATGATTTCTATAAAATAAATATTGTTAAATTTTCCTAATATATTAAAGTGTAGATTTCGATTGCAGCTTTGGATATTATTTTGAATAAAAATATGAATGCAAGCATTATTTATATTTGACACTTATTCACATTTTTTTCAGTGCACCTGTCAGCCATGTGCATATGGATCTGACCAGACCCGGGTCCGGATTTTTGGTCCCGGTTTTGGTTCTGGTCCAGGTGCGGTGCGTGCAGCTGATGGCGGAAGCACGTCTGCCGGCCATTTTGTTTGGAATGTGAAATCAAACCGGAAATGTTAAAATATGCAGCGTAGCTCTGACTCTCGACCCGACCACGCCCCCTGCACCCGCCCAACCCCGCCTTCTGCCTCATTTGCATTGTCCTGGATGTGAATGTTGACGTTGGCTGGTGTCGACAGGCGGACTGAGGGCCACATTTAATGTCATCTGCCATATGCCGGCCTTAAATAAAATACAAAATTCGTGAAAGCACTTGGGAAGCTCCTTAAACTAAGCTTCCGGTCAGTTTGTGTGTCCTCGAGGATTAGCAGTGAATCGGACAAAATCTGGACCAAAACAATCGGCTCTTTCGGAATGTTAAATGCTAACACAGAAATTAAATTATGAACCATACTCGTCAACAGACTAAATTTCATTTCAATTGAAACTCCATCCGTAGCAAAGACATTTGAACTGAAAATTGTTTTGCGTAGAAAATCAATTGGGCACATGTAAGCAAGTGAATAAACTTCAATCCTTGTTAAAATATTCGTTGTTATATTCACCTGTAGAAATATATGGACATCAATTCAATTTTATGCGTGTCAGGTAACTTTCTCTGTAGATGGTAATTTAAGCAGACTTTTAAGAATCAAATATTGTTTGTTTAGTTTATTGAATATCTTAAAACGCATATTAATTGGTCATTCAAGAAGGATAACCATAAAGTTTGTATAAATTAAATTTAACATTTTTGCTGATGAAATAATATTAAAACAAAATGGACCGATTTTTGGGCCCAAAAGGTTTCAAATTTTTTCCGGCTAAAGCACCAAATACAAAATAGTCAAACCAAGTTCTATAAAACCATAGACAAATTTAAAAGTACTTTATCTTTGTTAGTTTCATTTCTGCATTTATCACTTCTCACAATTATTTTTTTTTCTAAATTCGGCAGCATTGAGGTAAAAAAATTATAAATAATTTCAGGCCCATGAAACTAGTTCATATTTCGATTACCAACTATTCTCCTTTTTCAGCTGGCATTTCCCTTGAAACTCTTCAATATCCATCTACCCATTTGATTCTTGCATCATCTCCTTCCTTTTCACCTGACATATTTCTGTCCAACGCACAGGTAAATATAATTTCTTGGGGAAAAACACACTTTCAACTTTCTCTCGGGACCATTGATCCGCCCTGCATCAAAAGTTGCACCTAACTTTGATGTAGTTCTGACCTATTTTTTTTTCTTTTTGCTATTATAAACTGATTTATTGGTTCATTTCCAGGCGCCCGGATGAAGGACCTAAGTGCAGCCAGCTCGGTAGAAGTTGAGCGGGGAAAGGAATAAAGTTGAGGGGCCAGGGTAGACAGGGTAAATTAGATTTGGCACTGCCTTGATGATGATGCATGCGACAAGTGAGTTAAGTTTCCAGGGAAGGATGGGTGGCCGTGGCAGTAAGAGATCCAGCAGGTGAAGCCGGTGCAGCAAGCCGGAACAATAAGAGCAACAGACGGCGAACGTAACTTTAAGCCGATATCAAATCTTTCAATAATTAATATGGCCCACAGCCACCCACGGCGACGTCGAGTTGGCTGGGCAAACAAGCGCCGGCTCATAAATAAACACACAGAACGTTTCAGTTGGTAAAGTTTTCCATGCCGCGCACACACACTGCCAAAAATAAACATTGTATTTTACTATTTAACTTACTTGCTCTTATTTTTGCTATAATTTGGATTTATAATTTGTATCTATCCAAATTACGGAAGTTGTTATTATTACCAATCCAAACCTTCAATCAAAGGTGCAAAATATAATTTTAAACAAGAAAGAACACTATAGCCGAGTACCTTGACTATCAAATAGCCGTTACTCAGTTAAAGGAAGTGCAAGGGATATGGAGCAGTGCTGCCATCACTCAGCTTGAAAAACCGGACAGAAAAGCCAAAAAAAAACAGGGAAAAAGAGGACAAAAAAATTTAAAAAAGGACAAAAAAAAGGACAAAAGTAAATGCGCCTCCATTTTTCTGTTTTTACCAAAGGGTGATATATTTACTTAATATAAATGGATTTTATATTAAATTCAATTATGTAATGATCTATTGCGCCCGACTCACAACCTTCTTCGTTTGATCATACCATGGTCAATTTTTGTGCGTATACGTAATAATCTAAAATGATTAAAATAATAAAAGCATTTCAAGTAACTATATTGGTAATACAAAAAAATTCAATATCTGCGTCAAACCCGAATAAGAGTCGTTCAAATATGAAATTTTTTTCTGACAAAAAGGCTGAGAGTAAAAATTGAGAACTTTTTAAAGTGTTTTCCTCTTTTTTTTGCTACAGAAAAAATCGTACTATAAAGAAAGTCCATCGACTGCATTACATCTCTTTGATAATTTGTAAAAATAATTATTTTTAAAGTGCCGAACTATAAGAATAATGGTTAAAACGGCGTGTTAGCATATAAAAGCAGGTTTATACACTTTCGACTAGCAAAAATAACACTCAAAACCTTATCTTTGAAAAACGGACAGATTTCCGGATAGGGGATGTTTGAATTTTTTTCCGGATAAAGTCGTTAAAAAAGGGACAGATCTGTCCGGAAAGATTACAAAATGGCAGCACTGATATGGAGATATGCATGCAGCAAAGCAGTACTGTTTGAACTTTATCATTTGCTCAGAACTTTTTAATAAATGTTTTAACACTTATTGCTAAAAACTGTACTTGCAATTAACAATTTATTTGTAGAATTATATTCGGTAATTATTAATCCCAATACCAAAAAAAATAAACAATTTTAGCCATATCGGAGTTTTTTGTTTTTTAATAGTCTAAGGTATTTTGCCAAGTGCACAACTGGCACACATCAGCACGTGTTCATTTCCGGCTACAGCATTTACCGTGCATATCCTGCCGTGTATCCTTGGCCAGCTCTCCTTCTGCTCTGTTGTGTTGTATCCTGTAGCTGTTGCTTTTCCAGCGGTGTCTGCCTAAGCCGTGCTCCATCGTCGATACAGAAAGCTTTCAGATTTAATTTTAATTAGGTGCTATTGAATTTATAAATTTTTCAGCTGCTGTCGCCGTCCTGCGTCCTTTGTCCCTCGTCCTTCGTCCTTCGCTTTTCCCCTTCGATTACCGCCCGCCGCACACGGAGAACTTTGCCAGCCATTGGCAAAAGTTTGCAGGGGGGATTCCCATCGGAGGCGCCCTGCCTGTTGCCTGACACTAATAACAATAATCGCAAATTGTATTTTCATGAATTTTCAACTCGTAATTACTAATATTTCAATATACATACAAATACATAATCTATATACACAGCACCCCCATCACGCGCCCAAATAGAAGCCAAAACTGGCGCATAATTAAAATTGGTTGTCCACGCCTTCTGTGAAGTGGCTGGTTTTGGGGCGGGTTTGAGGATTTACCTTTTACAATGAATAACAATGAACAATGTACATTAATTTTCCGTATTAATTGTTTATTTGCGCAGGCTGCATATTAAAATGTCTGCTAATCAATAATAAACCCCATTTGAAAGAGATTACCTTTCGTTGGGCTTTCATTTCAATTGGTGGTGGAGAAGTCTTTAGGGAAATGTTGGCTTAATTTCGCTTTTAATGATTCTTAAAGCTTTTAATTGAATAAACGTTAAAGGAAAGTTTTCTGCACTAACCAACATATTTAATACAAGCCTCTTAACGAGCTAAAAATGTATATATTATGTTGATATCAGAATTGTTGTCATTGGGAGGTTGTCACTAGATACAAATTGTGTAACAGGTAGGTGTAAGCGTTATTGATTATGATTATATTATAGTGTACTTCTACATTTCATTGAGTAATAGTAACATAGTTGATTAGTAATATTAATCCGAATGAGTAAATTTTCGTGCTTTGTTTTGTTTTAACATTTGAAAACTGTTTTCTAAGGGTTTAGCTTTTGCAGTGTCATAATTATATTATAGTTTCCTTCTGCATTTGATTAGGTAATAGTGATATATTTTAGGTTTTTACTCATACATTGTTTTAATAGCGCAGAAGAACTTGTAAGACGTGCCAAGAAACTACAAGGCAATACAATAATTTTAACAATTAAAACCACTAACAATCTGTGGTACTTACGATGCTCATAGTCTCCATGGATAAGTCCAGGACTATGGTTGCCTTCAAGCAAACTGGCTTTTGGGCTCGCATTAATAAGATAATTAACATTTTTCGGCATCGTGTGTCGGCCTCAGTCCAACTCATATCGTAGGCCGCAGTACTGACATCCTCACTCTGAAATTACCTAGTGAGTTGGATAGATTTTAGGCAGGTGTATACTTAGCAGACCGCATTGATCAGCATCTGGCTAAAGGAGCAGAGGAGATATATCTCCACCAATCCCGCAACTAGGAATAGCACCTGCTTAAAAAAATAATAGTCACTAAGAATAAAAGTCAATTGAAACCCAACCAGGCAAACAAGCACTGAAGAGGCCATAAAGTTTAAAAGCAAGGGAACTCCAAAGACCTCGTTCATCAAGTCGGTGAGTCTGAAAGGAAACTCAATTAAATGAACTCAATTAATTAAATTAATAATGTTCTAGCCAACCGCAGAATATCTATGTGGTAGGCGATCAGGGATTGCAGCGCTTTCAGATCCTCATTGGCCCCATCGGATTGGTTATTGTTCCGAATTTGGAACTCCCTGAGAGCCTTAGCTAGTCTGTCGTAGTGCATAAGAACCTGAAAGGCTACAGCAAAAATCATGGCATCACTGGATATGGCTCCACATGTAACCGTATAACCGGCGATCAACTGGAAAAGGTAGGCAGGATAAAATGACCAGCTGCCTCTCCAATTCCAAGGCGCCATGTCGTAATACGGCAGGGATTGCTTCGCATCCGGTAAATGGAGCACACAGCTCTGAAAGAAGTATATGACCATAGGAGTCAGGCTGTGCGAGATGGCCATAAGCGTTAGGAAGCGACCGTAGCCCCTTGTAATAATGTTGCATCGTTTTAGGTAGCTCTTCACATCATACAGCTCCTGATCGCTTGCGCTGGGCGACGGGAAGCAGGACTCCAACTGCCGAACTAAACGGGTTAGCTTTTGCTTCTTAATCAACACGGTGATTAGCTTAAGAATGCCGACGAACATAAAGATCACGTAGCTCATTACGATGCAGCCCTCAAGGAAATGTTCACCATCTTGGAATGCGATTACCAAAAACACGAGTCCCGTAACAAACACTACCATTGTGTTAAACGAGTTCAGCACAAAATAGACATAAAACCAAATTCCGGACTTTCGGTCACTTTCAAAGGGCTCTATACCCATGGCTTTGCAAAAGAACACGGGCAGATTCAGAAAATCATCGACCACGTGATACGCTCTCTGAGACTTGGCCCTCGGAAAGGACCAAATTTTTTTTAAGAAATTGACACTCATTCCGGACTGAAATCGATTAGATTATAAAGTCCCAGCAAAAGGGTTTCGGGCTTTATAGGCCAATGGTTTCGCAGAAACCGCAAGATTTTCTTTTCCCTTCAGGTGTTTACACTGGACCAAAATGTTTTGCAATAAAATACCAGCTTTCTAATATGAAAAAGTTATTTAAATTTGCAGCGAAAAAAACAAAATTATATTTAAACATAAAATATTTTAAAAATTTATAAATTATAAAAGGGTGCTACACTTTCTTAAAAGATTTAACCTTTTTTTTAGGTATAGATATGAATATATGATAAACTTAGCGTTTTTTATGTATAGCTAATATTGATTATTTATATCAATATTCTTTATACTTAAAAAAAATCTTGTGAAGCGAATTTTTTTCGGAAGACATTACAACCTGTTGTTTTCCCATTATTAATTATTGCAAGTGTGTCTTTTATTGGCAAAACAATAACTCTGTTATTATTTATTGGCCTCGACCTTAAAACCACTTACTTAGCTAAAGGAGTGCGAGAGAGATGAAGATATGCATGCAGTAGAGAGAAAGGTCAGACAAATCCTTGTACCTTTTAAGCAGCAGTAATGGGTTCGAAAACGCTTTATTATGAACCAAATTACGATCTAGTTAACAGATAAATAAAATTCATACTTGAAAACAGATTATGGAGACTTGGAAAAAGATATCCTACGCGAATGACTTAGGACATGGGTAGACGATTCGGTTTTTTAATCGCAATAGCGATCCTGGCCACGGTACCTAAAATCAATTCTCTAGAAAACATTACCGCTGTTAAGCTGAAAAAGTTTATAAACTGCGAGGATAAGTCTTACGAATCGAGGAAAGGAATTTATCAGGACTACTGGGTGCTGGAGAACTATATAATGGCGGGTCACGGAAAGCTTTCGTGCTATGCAAATGTAACCTACTCCAGCCATGCGGACTACTCGTATCTGGATAATGTGGTGCCCCTCCTGGAGCGCTGGCGATCGCCCCTGAGCCTGGCCATCTATGCGCCTGGGACGGATTTTGAACGCACTCTGGACAGCATTTTGTATCTGCTGCAGTGCCATCCCGGCAGGCACTTGGTTAGCGAGCTGACCAGCTTCCATCTGTATTTCGACGTGGAGCATCTGCCCCAGGTGGTGCTCTCGCCCAAAGCGGCTTTAGGGATGAAGGCCAACTGCAGCGGTCCACCGCCCTATGAGAATGTGGCCAGAAAGGATCTGTACAGGACTCGGCAGGGACTCTATTATCCGGTGAACATGGGTCGCAACATAGCGCGCAAAGCTTCGCTGACGCACTACGTCCTGGCCTCGGATATCGAACTCTATCCCACGCCCGGATTGGTGCCAGATTATTTGAATTTTCTGGGTCGTCTTGTAAGATCTCTCATCAAACTTATAATTATGTTCTAGTGGCCAGTGAGCTTTTGTTCTTATAAAGTCGATTTTACCATTACCTCTTGTAAAGGTTTTAATTTATTTTTAAGAGGTCAAAAAGTTTTGAATACATTTAAAATGAATACATTTCAAATTTAAAATGATATTTTAACTTTGAAGGAAAAAATATCGAGAAATATTCAACTGTCGATATTTTTTCAAGCTCTTCTTGAAACACCCTGTGCACTGGCAACTTGAAACACCCATGAAAATAAATACACAATTCGAAAATAAACACCACCTTTACCAAATTGTGTAACAAATCAGATAAAAGTTTCATAAATTATATTTAAAAACAGCGTTTAAAAAACAAATAAACATATTTACAATCATCTCATTTCTACATATTTTCTTTGCTCTTCTCAACAAATCCCATTCACAGGTTATTGGAAGGCCAGGTCAGCTGCCCACATCGCCGGTGGTCCATGTGCTGCGAATTTTCGAGGTGATGGCCAACGTTTCAGTGCCAAACACCAAAATGGAGTTGCAAAAACTTCTGAAATCCGGCGAAGCCGTTCCATTTCACATGGAAATCTGCGCAGTTTGCCACCGAGGACCGAAGCTGGAGGAATGGATAAATGCCACCGTGGTCTCCGAGGGCCTTAATGTCTTCAATGTGGGCCACCGCTCGCAGCCCGACAACATGTGGGAGCCGATCTTCATAGGCACCGTCGAGGATCCGCCGTACGACGAGCGGCTGACCTGGGAAGGTCAGCGTGACAAAATGACGCAGGCCTACGCCATGTGCGTTCTGGACTACGAGTTTCACATCCTGGACAATGCCTTTTTAGTTCACAAGCCGGGCATCAAGCAACCCGCCAAAAGCAAATCAGTCCTCACACATTCAAGCCGCCGCACCAATGGACTCATCAATAAAAAGATATCCAAAGAGATGCGGATTAAGTACGGTTCTCGAAATGGCTGTGTCCTTTAGAATAGAGTTTATGTGGCAATTATGTGGCATTACAAATTCTTCGTTAATTTATCTGTATTTTTTGGCGCACAAAATATACAAAAAAAAACACGTCGCGGTCAAATCGATATGAGCATGGTAAATTTCTGGTATTGCATACGCATTTTAGAAATTCCAACTGTTTTGATTCGAAACGGAGCGAGATAGAGCTTAAAGTTACAATGGTGTGAAAAAGAAATACACATTTACATTTGGAAAATGTAAAATTGAGGTGCCCTATGTCAAGACAGCATTTATACCATACAACATCACATCGATAATCGTTTCATATCAAGTTGTTTTTGCATGTAGTAACTTTGCATAACCGAATATATAAATTTCCCATTCCTATTTCCTTTTCTAATTTAAATACTCCCCTTACAAGGCACTTTAAATTCGCCATAGCTCAGGGCGAAAGCATTTTCCGCTTCCGTCAATGTTTGCTTAACTTTTTCTGTTGTGCAATTTACAAAAAAATCAACAGCAAACGCAACAGCATCAATAGTATAAAATATGAACTGCAAACCTAAATAAATATTTATTATTTGCTGCATTCTACTGGTTGTGTGTGTGTTTTGTATGTCAAAACCATGAGAGAGAGAGAGGAATTTTTAGCTTAATTGAATATCAATTCATTTTAAATTGCGAACCATAAAAGGCGGAAAGGGATGGTAAAAAGAAATCGAATAGTAGATGAGGCCTTTATGATTTCCGCGGGGCGGGATTTTTAGATGCTGATTGGAGAGGCGCGCAAAGGGTTATGGAATATTTATAGCGCAAATTATTAGCATACAAAATGCAATTGATGCCCTCCAGTGATTAATTAAAATGTTTCCGAGCGCATATAAATTCATATTGTTTATTGCGGTCCGTGCACAGACACAATGCTCTCGTGTGAGTCCAGAGTGCGAGGTCATGCGCCATTTTTGTGGTTCACTGCACTCTGCGGATGACCCGAGTGCCCAAGTTCCAAGTGCCAAAGTGCCGGTGTAGAACTACTCGTACCCTGGTCATCGACTATCGCACCTGTGGTTAATAATTTCGACTGAAGGGCCTAAACTGCAATTAAAAACTGTCCAAGAATTTTGAACATAATCAAGGGAAATTTTTAATTGATTTATAGTCAATGACATCCTTTTGTATTTGTATTATGATTTTATTGGTGTTTTGTGACTCTGGCCAAATAATTTAAATATCTTTTAAGCATGCTTAAAAATCTGACCACTTAATTTTTATCCTAATAATTTAATTAAAATATAAGTTATATTGCGAGTCAATACAAAATATCAACGTAGCTCTTCTGAAATAAGTTATACAGGAAGTAGACTGTTTTTAAACGAATAATTATTTTTTAACCGAATGAACATTATCTTCCATGGTCTTACCATAATTAAAGTAATTTATATAGATACTATAGTTGTATAGGCTTTTTCATATTCTTGTTTAAATTTTCCATTTGAAAGATACCAGGATATGGTGTTAGGTATGCTGTTTAAATATTCCAAAGATTTTAAAATATTGGTTATATTTTATTATTTGTATCATTAGGTTGACATTTTTAATTTTAATTATGCACATGTATTTCCCCATTATCTTGTTAAACCTTGAAACTGCTTTGGCATATGACCACAAACTACCCCATAAGCCGTTTTTGTGTTGGATGCCCCATAACAGGCATATATCCGTAAGTGTATAAAGCCAGGCCTGCGGCTTGTTCGGAACCCCATCAAGCTGAAAATATCCACTACTATCCGCAGGCAAAACATAAATATGCGAAAACCCTGAAAAACTGACCATAGCGAGCCAGAGTGTCCTTCCCGTTCCCGTCACAATGACATGGCAACTTGGCGAAACAAAGTGAGACGAGAAGTTTTCCAAAAAGACAAATGACCCTTAAAGTTGAAACTAACAGTGACTAAATGGAGACAAGAGCAAAAAATTTGTGTGTGCCCAGGGTGGATGGATCCATAGGAGGAAAGGGGTAGTGGGTGTTTACCAGGATTGGATGGATGAAGGAGTACGGAAAACGAAAGCAGCTGAAGCAGCATGAAAATCTTTTAATTGCTGCCACCAGTAGCCAAGCAAGCAAAAGCTTTCCATTTGTCTTCCAGCCAACTGCTGACGCTGTTGGATCTACCCCAAAATGTGAAAGAGACGGCTTGTATGATTAAGTCCACTGTGCGGAAAAGAGACAGCGACAAAGCCTGGGGCCGCGTGAAATTGCAAAACTGTTTCACCTGAATGCATGAGTCTCTGATCCAGATGCCCATTCTCAAAACCCATCTGAGACTTCTGCTCCATAGGACAATGACAAATAAGTAAACAAGAAACTAGTTGGCATCGCAAATGCACGATAGGTAGTGTACCTTTTCGGAAATTCAACAGCTGAACCATAGCGAAAAATTCTTTGGATCAAGTAGTAGTAATAAGCCATTTAAGAACATTTCCTAAAAATTTAAATTTTTAATTTTAATTATTTATAATTCATTTTGAGTGAAACCGTACAAGCTTTAATCAAAAAATTCCCTCCATAGTATGCAAACAAGCTTAAATGCCCCAAGTCACCTTATCGTTTAGGCTCAAACACTTCATAGTTCATGGAAAAATCAAAAAAGCTACTCAACCCAAGATGCCCCTTCGACAGCCTTTAGCATTGACCACAATGAAGGGCAGTAGCACCGAGCACCATTCAATAAGTCCTTTGGCCCCAACAGAAAACCCCAATTTCCCAGCTACCGCTATTGTTGTAGAGTATGAAAAACTAGGGAAAAGCTACGACCGAAACAAACAAAACGAGGAAAATACAAAAGTAGCAAGGGAAAACTAAAAAAAAGTGAGCAACAGCAGAGGAGGAACTCCAAACAATAGGCAGCCGTCAAAGTGAGCGATTGTTGGAACGTGTCGGGGCATCAATAGAAGGTCCAAGTGGACACCAAACCGGGGGCTAATTCCCCGAATGCCTGACAACTCACCCGGAGAGATCGGGCTATTGGTCTAGTGAATAAATAATTTCTAAAAAAAATCCTGTTTCATTTAACTAATTAACTAATTCTTGCAGATAGAGTGATTTACATTTTAGTTTTCTGCAAACAATTAAAAGATTTTTAGTTCGGTATTTTACCCGTTTCTAAATTTTTATAATTGTTTCAGAAAACACGCTGGGATCAACTCAATATGCGCATGGTAAATTTCTGATATTTATACAAATATCGTTTTTATTATTTTTAGAATCTCGAGTAGTTCTTAACTCTTGAGATATTTTTAAACTAGTGTTTTTTAAGCCATTGCATAGTCATAGATACACTTTGTCGGAATTTAGCTTCCCGTTGTAACATGCAAACTATTCCGGCCCTTATGAGGAAGTTGAGATGGACAAACTCTGGGATTTCCCTTAAACCAAAACCATTGCGGCATCAATTTTCCATTGAATAAAAGATTGCAAAGATGCGTTGGCATACAGATTCTTTTGTGCCATAGAAATTGCTGTTTGAGGATGGCCAGAAACTTTCTTAAGATGCTGCCCGTTTTTTAGCCCCCTCAAAAGCAGAGCTTAGGCAAACATCTGCCATTGAGTGAATATCTTTTCCATACAAATGCCATATGGATGGGCTGGGGCGTCTTAAGAAAATTGTAATTTTGATGTCAAACAACGATTAAAAGCAACGAGATTACCTGATGCATATTGCATGAATGCATTTATTGTGTTTGCCCAGCGTCGCTGCTCCTTCGTCCTGTTGGAAATATCCTCCGAGCGGTGGAGTGGTGGAGATTGAAAGCAGACATCGTTGAGCTCATTTGCACTTTGACGCGTCCTGAGCTCAGAATTCCATGGCACGGCATCGTGTGGCAGGACGAAACAGGACGAAACTGCACAGTCAGACAAGTGCAGGTGCCGGTGCAGGTGCAGCTGACGGCAATGACGATGTTAACGAGTCCACAAAACAGCTCCAAAGAACTTGGCACCCCCCTCCTTTGAACCGCAGCCCCAAAACCATTTGCCCCCATCGTTTGCCCCCGCAAATCGATGCAAATAAGCAAAAGGCGCCGCTATTGCCCAGTTTAGCAGTTGAGTCTCCAAAAGCCGATCACGCTTTGATTCCCTTTCAAATGGTATTTTGATTGTCAGCAGAAGCTTCACAGAAGCCAAAACCTACGTTTCTTTTTAGATAATTTAAATTTCAGATTTAGGATAGAGCTGAAAAAATATAGTTTGCTATTTCTCCATATTTAATTTGTGTTTTCCCTTTAAAATATTGATATTATGGAATCAATATTGTCAAAATATCGAAAACATCGATAATTTTCCAGCTTAATTTAGGACCCATTGGTTTGGCCAACCTATATATTTTACCCACATATTCCATAATTTATTATCATAAATATGGTTTCCTATGTACAATATGTATATTAAAATAATTAATGTTTAATATTTCCTGTAGATCCCCAAATCTAAAATATAAACTATCCTTGAACCTTCTGAACTTGCTCATTTCTGTCAGCGTATTTAAAGTTCCATAACCTAGCCCTCCAGCCAGTTGCCTCTTTTTTGCCGCGCGCTATTTGGTATTTCCAATTTTTTTTCTTTTGAATCTTGTTGTCGGTTGGCGAAAATTTCAACCGCAATGTTCAAAACAGCAACGGAACAGGGGGAGAAAATCTGTTAAAATTTCAGCAGTGGCAATAGGCGCTTAAAAAAAGCTAATGGAACATATGGCTGCCGGAGCAGGGCCAAGCGGATCTTAACCCACTCAAACCACGCCCAATCTCTCATGCCGCCACATATTCCCTTCCTAAGTGTGTTGTTCACTTAAAGAAATTCATTAGATTTGCGACTTTAAATATGTTAAACATTTTTTTCGAGGTTTGTTATTTTAAAGTACTTAATACTAAGTCACTTAGAGGATAAAATACTCCCTAATTAACAATTTCTTCAAAAATTACTCATACGACATGTTGGTCTGTAAATAAAGCAAATAAAATATAGTCAATTTCACAGTATTTTCTATGAGTAATAAATGTTTATTTTTTA